TTACAAGACCCAAACTTATCCACTGAGCTGAACCATTCCGTGTCAAATGCTGCTCCACCGTTCCCGTATCTAAATCCGACCCATCCGGTGCCCGACCCGTTTCCTCCCTCAAGATTGTCGTCATTGGTTTTGGAAACTACGGCTAATTCCTTGCTAAAACTCTTGTTTCTCAAGGACACAAAGTTTTAGTCCACTCGAGATCGGACTATTCCCGTACAGCTAAAAAAATGGGTGTTTACTTCTTTTTGAACCCACACGACATATGTGAGCAACACCCAGAAGTTATTCTCCTTGGTACTTCGATTATATCCATCGAACAGGTTCTAAAGACTCTTCCTTTACAAAGACTGAAACGTTCCACATTGTTCGTCGATATTTTATCCATCAAGGAGTTCGCTAGGAATCTGCTTCTCGTTGTCTTGCCTTATGATTTCGATATAATTTGTTCTCTTCCCATGTTTGGACCGCAAAGCGAGAGACAAAGCTGGAAAGAACTCTTCTTTGTCTACGACAAGGTCAGAATCGGGAACGAATCCGCCAGGGTTAAAAGACGTGAACAATTTCTTGGAATATTTCAAAGTGAAGGGTGTAGAATGGTGGAAATGAGCTGCCAGGAACACGACAGGTTTGCGGCGGGGTCTCAGTTCATGACACACACGGTCCGGAGAGTGCTGGACACGATGGAATTGAAGCCAACGCCGATCAACACAAAGGGTTATCGAGCAGGAACTACTCTTAACCTCGCAAACCTACCCATTTCAGTTGGTATATATAGTTTTTGCTATGCAGGTCATACGGTAATTCCAAGTATATATTCGTCCATGAAAGAGCCTTTGAATTATCAAATCGGCCATACGCAAGATTTTAAAATATATATATTTGGAATTACCGTATGGCCTGCATAGCAAAAACTATATATACCAACTGAAATAGGTACGTTTGCAAGGCTGAGTAGTTCCAGCTCGATGAAACCCGATTGATCAACAGCCTCGACCGATAACAAGCAAAGTACCACTAAAATTGATGCTCCTACTCCAACTGAACATTTCAAAAGATTAAGATCAGCAATCTCATGGCTTTAAAGAGCTTTAAGGAGGATGAGAAATCAAACCTTAAAGGTATGACAGCAAACTAAGGTCTCGGAGCCAATCAGTTGGCAGAACAATGAGAATTCCTATGATAGCAAATATTTGATGAGCATTAAGATATATTTCGCTAATATGTATGCTGGTGTTTGGGAAAATCGTGGACAGGTTGTCGCTCATGATTATTACGTACTCGACGCACGCAGCCTGCAGATTAGAGGCACAGTTTAATCTTCAAATGCAGATTCTGAGGAACATGAGACTGAACCAAGAAATCAATAGATATCAGATCATTGTACTTGCATATAATTCTGCATACACAGTTATCTGAATTTCACCAATTGAAACCAAAATGTCTAGTCGTGTTAGTATCCTCGTCAATGCAATTACAAACATAAAAATGTACTCAATATGAACTTATAATCATACTTACAGCTATAATAAAGCGACCGGCTGCGCCAAAAGCAGCCAGTCCGATATCGGGATAAGTTTGTAGATCAGGGGAGCTTTCTAAGCATCTCTTTAACAAAATCATAGTATAACAGGCAACAACACCAAATATAATGAGCAGAGTAAAGCTCATCCACCCTCCTTTAACAGCGTAAGGAGTTGTAAGGAGTCCTATGCCGCTCAGAGCTTTGATTCCTACGTAAAGAAAAAACCGATGAGAAGCCTTTAACAGCATGATAGGCACATAAGTTGTTCGAAAACTAAAGGTTGATTAAATGGTTTCATTACCATTAACAAGTTCTTTTGTAAATGAACACTTCTTCATTGATGGTATTGATTCGTGGAAAGATTCTCTTTGTAGTGGATCTGGAAGAATAGATATTGACATGATGGCTTTTTGCATGATATCACATCTATTAAATGAATCTCCAAATGAATCCTCACACGTCAAGTTTAGGAGAAAGTTGTTCATGGGTTGTTTCTAAATTTAGAAGCATGCTATTAGTGGGTTGCTAATTTTACTTTATTTAAATTCTGAGTATTATTAAATAAAATACAGTGTTCAATTTTCCTTCATCACTTCAGTTCATTTTTCATTAAAATACCAACAACAAATGACCCACTTGTCACGTTGAAAGAGTTATAGCATTAGCATAGAGTATTCATTCGTGAGCATATGATAACATGATTCATAACTGCGTGCACTGCTTTTCACAGGCACCAACATTATGCACAAGATAAACAATAAGATTAGATCATTATTAAGAAAACGAAAATTAACTTTTCAATAAATGTTATACTACCGTCATCTCCATGAATGTTACCGCGTGCCATTTCTTCATCATCTGTTTGGACCGCATCATCCCGTTCCACACCAGCATCCTCGTCAATCCTCATGTCTTGTCCTTTTTTGTTTGGTGAGATTAACACAATGTTCTCAGAAGGAGGAGGGGTGGTTTGCTTTGGTTTCTTCGACTTCAATTTATATGCAGCTTTTGTCAGTGCTGTAAACCTCGCCGTGCATGAGAATTGAGAGGGGTGCCTTACAAGGTACTAAACAAAGGGGTCGAGTCGAGTAAAAATTTTTTGAGTTATTCGAGTTGATGAGTCTTATTTTATAACTCGGAGTTGACTTAAAATTTTCTCAGAGTCAAGAGTCAAATTTTTGAATTCCCATTTAAATTTAATGATAAATATTTATAATATTATGATATTATTTGATTCCAACTTAAATGATATTTTATAAGCATAAACAATACATATATGTTTTTTTTTGTATTTTTTCATATATGATTCGCATATATCATACAAAGTCGAGGGATTCGACTCAAACTTAGAATCAAACTTGAAAATCAATCTAATAATTATTAAAAATTTCGAGTTATTCGAGTTGTAGTTTATATATTGATTTGAACTTAAATTTTTTTCGAGTCAAGTCGAGTTTATGGAATTATAACTCGAACTCAATTCGAGTCGAAAAAATCAATTTTTTTTAGTCGAATCGAGTTTTGCTCACTCCTACCAAGTGGTATCTTATTTCATATTTGAACCTATTGAGAAGGTTCAAGTTGCTGATGCTGGAGAAGGATGAGATGAAGAGGAGCAGGGAGAATGTTGAAGTATGAGCAGTATGAGCTGCTGAGGTCATGCATGGTGCGTGAGGTGAGGTGATGTGCTGTGCATGAGTTAACAAACTCTGTTAGGGTTGTTGTGCTGAAGTATGTTCAGTTGCAGATTTGTTAAAATAGCCTAGTCTACTATAAATAGATGTAGCTGGTATTTGTTTATTCACTGGTTCATAGTTATGTTGAATAAAATAACAAGCTCTCGTTTCTATATTCTCTGTGCGACTCAAATTCTTTGTGTGGTTTCATGGATAAGGGTGGTTCCTACCACTGTCTGAAGCCTTTATTCATATGTGATATTCGATTTTACAATCAGAAACAAGAATCACTAGCTGCTTAAACAGTCTGGCATGGCATGTCACTGCCACATGTTCGAAATCGAAGGAAACCAGAAAAGTAGACCAGTTGTTGTTGCAGGTAGGTTGGCTTCCAGTCAAGTAAATTCCAAAGAAACATGTGCAATTGAATCATGGGTAAAACATTGATACGGGTCTCGTTAGAAAACTTTCATACACCTAAATCGAGGGAAAAGAGTGAAACAACAACTACGCTCTGTCAATAGCCATAATCAAAACCAGCTCAAGACATTAGATACACAGGCTGAAGCAAAACTGGTGAGCAAAGAAAAATCAGCATTTATAAAAGCAGATGAAACTCGGCACGAAAGACAAAGGAGCCCAGCAAAGGTATAAGCCCAACAGATGAGCTCGCCTGACCCAGTGGACCAATCTACTAATCCCAAGCTTCAGTCCAAGTCAAGGACCAGTAGAGGCCCATCAATTAATAGTTGTCATCAAAACGAAATCGTTTTGGTGTGACAAACTATATTAACAACTGTTAGCCATGTCATCGTCTTATTAGTGATTTAATTATAAGAGTGACAAAACTGAACGTAAAATTAAAATTTAGTGTTATAGTCGACAAAATTAAAAAGTTTAATAATATAGACGAATAATAGAATTAAATTTATTATATCGTGTTGTTTGCCATTTAATTGAATCCATTTATAACTTCATGGCTGTATTGAAAATTAAAGGTTAAAAAATTATATATTAACAACTTTTTTATGAGCCTATATAGCCTCAATGTTGACGTATATTTTTTTCCCTTAAAGATCGTCGTTTTTTTATTAATGTTTATTTAAAAAAATCTTAATATTAAATAAGTTGGAGAAGCAACAATGAGAGAAAACCTTGTCTTTCTACTTACTAAACTCATGTTGGTTGGCTGCACTTCCTAACATTACATTACACCACTTTCTTGGGGCATGGTCTTGTCCCCTACCTTTAAAATACAACAGAGTAATGTTTCAAATTGAAAAGCGTGCATCTTTTTTTTTAATTTATTTTATCAACTTCAAAGAAATTTGTGTAATCAGCATTCCCGCAAAGCCTGTATCAGTATAAGGAAACAGAAAATGGTTAAGCTCAGGAATTTTCGCATGAAATTTCCTTCACCAGTTTCCTCCAAAAAAATTTTTTTTTTTTTTGCTGCACCAGAAACTGAACTGTAGGTTACTTTATATAGACCCTTCCTAGCTAGCTACTTAGCAAAGAATCAAATCATTGGTAAATGGGATTTCCAGATTTTTCAGCCATTGTCAAAGATTCTTAAACCATTTGGAACAGTCGACTGTTCGATATCCTTGGAATCAAGTCATAGGGTAGATTTCCGGTAAGAAAATTTTGAAACCTACTCTACATTAAACTGGTAGCTCCATATTTTCGACGTTTCTGGTCTGTCCTTTTCTGGATTCTTAATTTTCTTTGTTTTGGTTGACAACAGCCAATCATCATTTATTATTGAACTATTAGTGCATTTAAAATCGGCAGTGGTTAGTGCTTCAGTTCATTCAGGAACATGGCTGGGAAAGAACCAGGTTTTAAGAAGCAAAGGTGGTCTCTTCAGGGTATGACTGCACTTGTCACTGGTGGAACAAGAGGCATAGGGTTCGACAACCTCCACTTTTTTATCTATCTTTTTATTTTCCTGTTTCTTTCATCGAATATGATGGTTTAATTGTACGTCAGATGTGCGACTGTTGAAGAACTAGCAACACTTGGTGCAACAGTTCATACATGTTCCAGGAACCAGACAGAGCTTAATGAAAAGATGCAAGAATGGCAGAGTAAGGGGTTTAAAGTGACCGGTTCGGTTTGCGACCTTTCTTGCAGAGATCAAAGAGAGAAGCTTATGGAGACTGTCTCATCTGTTTTCGATGGCAAACTCAACATCCTCGTAAGTTTTTCTCGGCTCAGAGAATTCGGTTTTAGATTTCAGTTTTGGAATTCGGTTTTCCAAGTTGTCAATTAAGTAATCGAAAACTGAGTTTCTTCACAGATCAATAATGCAGGAACCATTGTAATCAAGTCTTGCTCAGAACACACTCTTGAAGACTACGCAACTGTGATGAGTACCAACGTTGAGGCTCCTTATCATCTTTGTCAGCTTGCACATCCTTTCCTCAAAGCATCAGGAACTGCAAGTATTGTGTTCATCTCCTCCGTGGCTGGTTCAATGGCTCTACCTCGATTATCAGCGTATTCGGCATCTAAAGCTGCGACTAACCAAATTACAAAGAGCTTGGCTTGTGAGTGGGCAAAGGATAACATTCGGACGAATACGGTTTCACCTTGGGGTGTTAGAACATCGATTATGAAACCAGTAAATTACTTCTAACATACCCTCAATAAGGAAGAATAGATATGTTTCTTCTCCTTTTAAGAATCATTTCGTTTCGATTTCAGGAGGCGGACACTGCATATGTTGTGGAATTTCTGAGGCTGATAGGTGGAACTGCAATGCCTAGGATAGCAGAACCAGAAGAGATTTCATCAATGGTGGCATTCCTTTGCCTTCCAGCAGCCTCATACATCACTGGTCAGGTTATATGTGTGGATGGAGGGTATACAGCAGGTGGCTGTTGGCCATTTCAGAACTTTAGCTTCAATCCTTGAAATCTTCAGCATCAAGCTACAAGAATGTATTAGACACAAACTTTGTGCAAAAAACTAATGGGGTTCAATGTAACCGCTTCTTGAGTGAAAAGTTGCATCCTTTGTTCTACTTTTCTAGGGTTTCAATAAATCTAATGGCAGATATTTAAAGATAAATGTAAGGTTAAGCTAAGCTAAGAGAGGAACTGTAATTTCTTCTTTCAACAAAGCACGAACTTGAGTCTTAGCAACAAAAATACAGAACTCGGAGTAGATTAGAGAAACAACAAAGGAGACGGACAATAATTCACATCCTAGAGATCAAGTTCTGAACAAAGGCTTATCATAGTCATCGGTCATATATACACCCCATGACCACATGAAAACCTACACCAATGTTTACGTTGGTTCTCCACCGAGCTACCAGACATATGTCATGCACGAATGTTGACCTGCTCGCACGAAGCTATGATCGCATCATTCCTACACAGGTATTCCTATTGATGGTTTTTCATCATTGAATCTTTACTCGAAATAGGATTTCTTTGACGCTGTAAAAGCTTCATCAAAGGCCAGAAAATATAGAGTCTGTGAAAGCCACTAGAAGTCTGCATGAAGTTTAAATGTCTCAGACATATATGACATTGTAAAAGCCCTTTTTGTCAGAACATAAAAGGTCTCCAAAATGAATTATACCTCAACAATGAAATGAGCCCATGTATTGTTTGAACAGCTCTCCATAACACCCTTCAAGATTGTTAAGTTGAAGCTTCGAATCACCTGAGCGATCTCTAGAAACAAACCATGCTCATTACAAAGCATCTGCAGCGGATGTGGTTGAGAAATTTGTTATTAGTTTGAAAACCAACAAGTATAAACGTTTAATTTTTTTTTTCTAAAAGAATTTTTAGTTGTGTTTGCCATGAAGAACTGACCTCGATGAGTAAGTGACCTGGATATGCAAGATCTTCAACAACAATGGGGCATACTTTCCGTTCATCTCCGATCTCAAAAGCCCAGCTTGTTCCGGTTTCGTAACCATCTTTGGCTTCAGACCTCCTCGTATTCTTGAGGTCAAATACCTGTAAATTTGAAATTCCCATTGCATTTTAACTTCATATCATCATAAATTCAAGCTACATCGGAACTAAAGCAACAATTTTCACATGTATTCCAGGGCTGGTGAAATTGGAAAAATCTAGAGCTCAAGCTTTCAATTAATCACAATTCTTCCGGTAAGTGCTCATATACATATAAGACGTCCAACAGATGCAACTGTTACATTTAATTTTACTAACATGGATTTTACAAACCTCACGATGCACCCATTGCCTCAGTTTCTCAGCTTGTTTGGTCACACTCCTCAAATACAGCATATGTTTAACGGTTTGGTCCAAGAGAGCATCAATGCTATACTAAATTCATCAGAAAATAATATTGGCTACTTTGATAAGTATAAAAAGTACAGGCGGAGAGTGTGAGCGACATATGACGACCAAAAACAGATACCGACTTTCGGAAGTACTGACCTTAGGACCATTTGGAACAAGTTCTCGAAGCTCCTTAAGCCGATCCTGGATCATCTGTCTATTCTTCGGCCTTGGCCTTGGGTTATCACCAGGCCTTCTCTTGCAGGCAGCGGACTGTTTTTTTCCTTTTCTAGATTGTATATAACAGCCATCATTTCCCAGATTCTCATAATCAATTACTGCGCTTACTGTACTTTTGAAAGAAGCTGAAATTTTAGAGATAGGACTACTTTTCACCCCACCAGCAAATGCAGACATAAGCCTGCTCGATGAAATTGAATCAGTCTTTACACCTTGAGGTCGAGGAGACAACGGAAGTTGTCCACTAGAGGCCACAATGCAAGCAGATCTATTAGCAATATCAACAGAAACATCATTTACATGATCAACCACAGCTTGCAACAGATACCCTGCATCACCTCGTTTTGCATCAAAGCCATCTCTAAATGCATCCCCACTAAGAAAAGATGACTCCAGCAAATATTTGTTGCCCTGTCTTTCGAAACCTTGTCCAAGTACTTTTTGCAATTCACAGTCTTTGGGAAAATTAAGGAAACCATCAATATCATAGTCTTCGAAAGGTGGTTCGAGAAAATATTGGACAGGGTAAGGATTTGTAACTTCATCTAAGATTTCTCCAGACACTCCTGTTCCGTAAGCATTACATTCAGGATAAGTTTCCAATTCCTCCTTAAGGAAATACAAACTAAACAATTCACTCTCCCCAATTGCAAGCAGGTCGACACTTACAGATTGGCTTAGTGGTGATGGTAATTCATCGAGGCTAACTGGTGGGATGCTTATCATATTTTCACACTCACTTTTACGAGTCTCAGGGAGATGTATTCCAGGCACAAGGAATTCATTCGGAAAACTTAACTGATCTAAAGCTAACAGCTTATTAGGCTCAACACTGTTAACAGCATTTGAATCTTCAGAGTTCAGTGGGCTTATTGATTCACTTGAAGACACTTCTAACTTCTCGAAAGGACTTAAACTTACCGGCGATGGTGACTGGGTGTTAATGTTCTTACAGGTAAATCTATCTTTGATGTATGCAGGAATATACAAATCTTCAGCAACCTGTTGATGTAAAGAGAAACAAACTGAATAGTATAAGATATTTATACAAGTGCACCACTTGCATTACTTCAATGCAATCACCTACCAATTTCCGCACAAAGAATTACACTCACGTTAAGACGTGTATTTTTTTCTAAAAGCAAGGATATAATATGGAGCAGAATACAGATTGTCGATTAGTGGTTGTGGTGTGGTAGGAAAAATAAGTTATCAGCTATCTGGGCACCACTAATTAGTGCACCAGCTGTTCACAGGGGTCTCAATTCTAAATAGCAACTTTCAGAGATCACAAATGTGAAATCATTCTTGTGCTCTTGTACATAGTTTAGGGGAGTAGAAGTGCATGACTGACAGAAACACCGGATATAATTCTAGCTAATAAGACAAATTTAGAAGAAAAAAAGTACAAACCATCTCCAATGAACCAAGCTGCAGAACTCCATGTGGAAGCACAGGTACCAGAACAATTGTCTGTAGGAGCATCACAAATAGTCAATATAACATCCATTTTAAAGGTATAAAATGGAGCGACGATCTTACCACCAAGCTTGTACCAATTAGCACATGTTTTCATGTGTACCGTTGTGTTCATGTGGAAGCATGTATCTGGAGTAGCTAAAATATGAATCTAGACTAGCTAGTAAGGTGCAGTCAAGGATTATATTACCTTGATTCCTGATGCAAACTGAAGTAACCATTCCTCTGGCCACTAGCAATTATAAAAAAAATAGTTTAAGTTCAAGTGTATGTTATTCATCATATATGTAGAAATCAATCAAATGTATCATACATCATTAATAGAAACCTACCTCAGGAACTAACTTCAAGTCGGCTTTGCCACTGAAAATATTATCATAGGGAACCCAGAAATGTTTCCCTGTATATGCTACTTTACCAACAAACCTGATAAATGTAGAGATGCAAAATCAATATTTGTTTCCATAACCCAAGAACCAGCTTGCAAGAGCACAGTTTGGCTCGGTACATTTTTCTAAGCAACAGAGACAGAGAGAGGAGCATGATCATAAATATAAGATAATGGTAGCGTTGAACCAGCGACCCTGTATGATAAATTTCCTGAAGTTCAAGCCTTTCCCTCAGGACGAGTCACAATCGAGGGAACTTTAACAGTAAAAGTAAAACAAAACTGTTATCCTATCACAAGAAATGAACACTAATGGGAGCATTAAATGTTGAGATCAAAATTTTACCCCTCTCCCCATGCATACTGAAGATGCGACATACGAGCTACCAACAGGTCGATTGGGTATCCTCCAAAACAACCATGAGGAATGCTCATCTCTAAGTGTGATGTGTTAATCTCACTGTTAGAATAAACATCAGCTGAGATACTTTCCACGGATTCTCTTGGTATTGGATAAACACAATACCCATCCTCCCAGGTCAAAACCCTGAAATCAACACTAGAGTCATCACAGCATTCTACATGGATACTTTTCTATATTTTTTTTTTAAAGAAGAAAACAATTATAGTCTAGAAAGAGTCGATGCATTCATTGTACCAGTAATGCTACTAGCATGAAATTACTAAAAGGTCATATATGTTATCAGATCATTTTCCATTAAAATTGTTCTAACAAGGGCAGTTTATGCCTAAAAGAGAATAAAGCCAAGCCCAAGATATCTACATCAATCATGGAAACAAGTTGAATTGCAGGTTAACGACGATTAGCACCATTACATGATCTCCTACAACTAAACTCAAAAGAGAAACTTACAAGGGGCTCCGGTGCCTAAGCTTCCAAAGCACAACATATTTCCAAGGTGAATTGGTGCAAAACCTCTTCAACAACTTCCTTAAAGCAGATTTCGCCATTGTTCTTCAACTTATATTCAACTAAAAGAAAAACCTCAGATGTCTGTTACACTCTAAAACCAAGCACTCACACTACACTCAAAATAACTCAAATTTAGCCTTCCTCTAGCTTCCACGGTATGATCCTCGACCCGCCTGTTTTATTCTCAATCCAGCCCTTCGTTTGATCGGTGGCCCCGTTGAACAAAGCAGCAAAAACCCCATCTTGCTTTAAAAGAACACACACACAAAAAATAAAATAAAAATTTAGCCAAAGAAACAAGTGGGTTCTCTCGCTACAAACAACAAAACAACAAAAAACGCTAAACCCAACTCCATTTCTGCAAATTCAAATGAAGAGTCCATTAAAAACCCAAACTTGTTTAAATGGAAGATAAAACAAGTTGAGATCTTTGTGTATCTAGAAACGACGAAAGGTATGGATCTTTATAATATATCAAAGAAGAAGGATATCTTCAAATTCGTTGGATTCCATTATCTTTGCTTTTGGGTGCTCTTAATCAAAACTGTAGAAACAAAGGTGAGAGATAGAAAAAATGGAATTTCCACAGTACGGCAATGCACTGCACTCTATAGTTTCTAAACGACTCTGAAGCTCTGCTTATTATAGCAGATTAGCGGTTCGCGCCACCGGTGACCGGTCGCATTATGAGTACATTTTAAAATAAATAAATAAATAAAACAGATGTCAAATTCGAGTATACTATATAATAAATAAATAAAACGGCTCTTTAATGCAATTTCTTGGCACTTTTACTCAAAAATTACGAAAATATATATTATTTACATGTCAGATATAATTTCTCTAAATATTATTCGATCTAGTCTCCTTTGACAGTAAAACGCAGTTGACCTAAACATGTCTTGCACACGTGGATAGAAGACGTGGATCATCAAGCGTGCCTTCTGTACGAGCTGGCGCCACGGGGTAAAGTACGAATCCTCAGACGTGCCTTCGATGGGATTCTGACATTCCATAAATATCCCTTTTAATACCGCTCAACCATCCCTTCCCCTTTAATTTCACCCACCCCCCTCCCCCTCCACATGTAAATACTCTATCATACAACCCTTAAACCACAAAAAAAAATCCTCCTATTCTTTTTATCAATTATTCTAGTAAGCTTTAAGTAAGTTATATTATCGTTTTTATAAGATAAAATTTTTATTATTATATTATAATCATTTAATATTTTATTATATTTTATTATACTAAATTTTTTATTACTTTTTGTAGTTATAAAATGGAAAGCGAGTTACTACGTTTAGATGGAAATCATTTCTCCAGTCATTTTGTCGATACAATAATAAATTTAAATTGTTATTTTAATTATTGTGAGTGTTTTATTTATTTATTTATTTTAGTATTAGTTTATATTTTAATTTATGTTGAAAACATTTTGATGTTTCGATATAACAAATTAAATTAAAAGAATTTTAATTTTGAAAAAGATTTTTTCTAAGCATATTCGATATATTAAATTGAATATCAAAATATTACTCAAAGTATTTCAAAGTTCATTTTAAATCCTTACTCAAGTGTAAAATTAAGTTTTAATCTTAAAATAATTTCAAAACGATTTTACAAAATATTTCGAACCATTTCAAAGCCAAAAATTCCAGATTGCTCATAGGGAACCGATTCCCCCCCAAGGGGGTATCGATTCCCTCCTGAATGGTTTGGCTCCGATAATTCCAGTATGCTCGAAGGGTACCGATTCCCTCCACTGTTCAACGGTCGAAATATTTGAATTTTACACTTAGGGAACCGATTCCCCTTATGGGGTACTGATTCCCCCCATGCTCCAAGTTGTTTTATTAATTGATTTCACACTAAAACGGCTATATTATCTTCACTAATCATCCCCAACATTCATAAGTGATTCAAGGTGTATTTAAGCAAGCTTAGAAGCCATTAATCAATATCAAGAAACATCAAGCAACTAAAATCAAGAGAGAATCAAAGAGAAAGCATCAAACCTCAAGTTTGAGCATTTCAAACCTATTTTTCATTCAATATTCATTTTGCTTTCAAGAACACTTATTGTGCTCAATTGTATTCATTCTTGAGTGTTCTTTTCTTTGTTCTAGAATTGTGCAAACAATCTACCTTGTGAGGATTTCCTTGTAAGTTTGTAAATTTGTATTGTTCTCTTTGGGAGAGAGTGTTCTCAAGAATTTGGGGTATAATTCTTGAGGGTTTGTAAGGTTACTCTTTGTCCTCAAAAGAAAGACAAATTAGTGAATTTGTGAAAAATCCTTAGTGTGGATAGCTAATGTAGTGGATGTAGACTTTGGTTGAGAAAGTCGAACCACTCTAAATCGCTGTGCAAATTTATTTCAATTTTCTGCAAAAGCTTCCACCAAAATTTTAATTGCCAATTCACCCCCCTCTTGGCCATATTCGTCAATCGATTAACTCAACAATTGGTATCAGAGCCTAACTCATTTGAAGGTTTAATTGCCTCTTGAGTCGATTCGGGAAGAGTTACATCGATAATCAAAGTCATCAATGGTCTCTACTTCAAACTTCGACTCTGGTCTTGATTCGATGCCTGTCAACAAGTCTTCTTTCTTCAATGGGGCTAACTATGTCTATTGGAAAAATAGAATGATGTACTTCATTCAAGCAAGTGACATGGGAGCATGGAATGTCGTAGAAGAATGATACTTCAAGCCTCTCACTCATCCAAGATTATGGAGTGAAGGAGAGACAAAAATGTTCCAGCTCAACTCCAAATCCATCCATATTATATTTTGTGCTCTTGGACCAGATGAATACGGAAGAGTTTCATCTTGTACAACCGCCAAAGAAATATGGGACAAACTTCAAGTCACTCATGAAGGTACCGATGAGGTAAAGAAATCTAAAATTAGTATTCTAACGCATAGCTATGAAAATTTCAGGATGAAACCAAATGAAGATATCAAAGCTATGACGGATAGATTCTCAACGATTGTCAATGGTCTCAAATCATATGGAGAGATCATTTCAAATGAAAAGCTTGTGAGGAAGTTAGTTTACTCCATTCCAAAATCATGGCAATCAAAGAAGACAACAATCATCGAGTCTAAGAATCTAACGTCCTTAACTCTTGAAGAGCTAATCGGTTCACTCCTCACTCATGAAATGATGCTTGAAGATGAGGTGGATCTCGATAAGATTGAAGAGACACCAAAGGAGAAGGAGAAGAAGAAAAACATTGGAGTTGTTCTCAAATCCACAAAAGATGAGAGTGATTCGGATGAAGATGACGATGACGAGGAAATGGCATTGTTTGCCAAACGGTTCAGAAAAATGATGAGACCTTACCGAGGAAGAAAATTCAAACGAAATGAAGGCCTAAAAAATGAACCAAAAGAGAATGACCCAATCATTTGCTATGAATGCAAAAAGCCGGGGCATGTCAAATATGATTGCCCACAATTGAAGAGAAATGGTCAATCAAAGAATAAGCACAAGGCTCATGTGGCTACATGGAGCGATGAAGAAGGTTCCGATGAAGAGGAACAAGAAGTAGCAAACTTGTGCTTAATGGCATTCGGGGAAGATTCTAAGGTAACCTCTAACTCATCTGATTTTGATGATTTATCCTATGATGAGTTATTAGAGGAATATAATGGGTTGGCTTCGGATTATGAGAAATTGTTTTTAAAATATAAAAATGATGTTTCAAAATTGAAAAATGAAAATAAACTCATATCCAAAACCAACAACGATCTTGAAAGTAAAATCAAAGATTTGCAAATCAAACTAGAAGAGTTTGAAAAGAAAAATTTGGATTTGCAAAATTTACTTTCAAAGGTCAATGATGATCATCAAAAGAAAATTGATGATCTTAAAGCCTCTTTTGATAAAGTTGGAACAAAACGTTTTGAAAATGGAGAAAATTCAAAATCCAACTTTGTTTGAAAAAGTTTTAAAAACTACAATCATAGAGGTCCCCAAAGAACCTCTAATGGAAAAATTATTAGAAGTATATGGGTTCCTAAAGAGCTCATTACTACTAAAGATAAGGATATCCTACACAAATGGGTACCTAAGGGGACTAGGATTTTGAAAACTAATGAATATGGACCCAAAAGAATTTGGGTACCAAAAATTAGAAATTAATCTATGATTGTAGGAAAATGAGCATTGCTACAAGGCACGGGAAACAAATCCAAATTCATGGTACCTTGATAGTGGATGCTCAAGACACATGACAGGAGACAAAAACCGGTTCATTGAGCTTAACGCCAAAAATGGAGGAGAAGTGACTTTTGGTGATGATTCAAAAGGTCACATTGAAGGTATTGGTACTATTGGTAATACCTCTTCCATACAAATTAAGAATGTTTTATATGTGAATGGATTAAAGCATAATCTATTGAGTATTAGTCAATTTTGTGATAAGGGATTCAATGTCATGTTTGATATTAATGGTTGTAAAGTCATTGACATTGTATCTAATCAGATTATGCTTGTTGGTCATAGAATAGGAAACATATACATGGTGCATTTAGATTCTATTGATATGACTAATTTGTGCCTAGTTGCTAAGGATGAACATGATAGTTGGTTATGGCATAAGAGACTAGGACATGCTAGTATGAGTGTTTTGCAACGGCTAATTCAATGTGATTTAGTTCGAGGGTTGCCTAAGCTTAAATTTGATAATGATAAAATATGTGATGCTTGTGCTAAAGGAAAACAAAAGCGAGTTTCTTTTAAATCCATTAATGACGTATCAACTAGTAGAGTATTATAATTGATCCATATGGATCTTTTTGGGCCAACTAGGACTACTAGCTTGGGTGGAAAACAATATGCATTTGTCTTGGTAGATGACTATTCTAGATATACTTGGGTTATATTCTTAAGTACTAAAGATGAAGCATTAGAAAATTTCATCACATTTTCAAAAGTAATCCAAAACGAAAAAGGTTACTCTATCACTAGTGTTAGAAGTGATCATGGCACTGAATTTGAAAATCTTGGATTTAATGAGTTTTGTAATTCTAATGGTATTAGCCATAACTTTTCAGCACCTAGAACCCCTCAACAAAATGGAGTTATTGAGAGGAAAAATCGAACTTTAGAAGAAATGGCTAGAACCATGCTTTGTGAAAATAATTTTCCAAAATATTTTTGGGCGGAAGCCACAAATACCGCTTGTTATATTGTAAATCGAGTAATGATTAGGCCAATTTTAAAGAAAACTCCATATGAAATTTTCAAAAATAAAAAGCCTAACATTAGCTATTTTCATCCTTTTGGATGTAAATGTTTTGTTTTAAATAACGGTAAAGGAAACCTTGGCAAATTTGATGCTAAAAGTGATGAAGGAATTTTTCTGGGTTATTCCTTAAATTCT